CATTTTTTAAAGTTAATCTTATTCCAAGTGCAGATACAAAAAAAAAGGTGAATGATGGTAATTTCAGAAGCTTTTCAGTCCCAACGGTCGCGGGAGAGAACAATGGAAAAAAGTAAACTTGGCGTGTTTATTCATCATAAATCTTACACAATGCGTACACAAAGGATTCTTGACCTATTGCGGTATATAATTTTATCTTTTTAATGGGCTAAGTCCTCTGAAATATCAAAATTATTGTACAACATATTTACGCGTAAAAAAAGTAATTTCATGGTTAGAAAGTTTTTTTGTTAACGTTGTACGGGTGGTAGGTAAGAGTAATGTAATTTTTGCGGGTTGCTTATTTCAAATTAAATCACTGATGTTCACCACAGTGTATTTCCTGTTTACTTCGAATCTTAAATCTTAATTTCTTTGGCTTTGATATACGTATAATGTGTTTACAGTATAAAAATTCTATACAGTAGGTTCACTTCCCAGTTACGCCCATAGGGAAGTGAACCTACTGTATAGAATCTGGTCACCACAGTGTACTTCCTGTTGACTTCGAATCTCGAATCGTTATTTCTTTGGCTTTGACATACGTATAGTGTGTTTACAATGTAAAGATTCTATACAGTAAGTTCACTTCCCTATGGGCGTAAGTGGAAGGTGAACATACTGTATAGAATCCGTCTCCTGCCAACCGTTCTTGGATATGACAGTTCAGCACACATAAAGTTAATTTACGATGACCTGTAAAAAATGTTAGTATTGTAGGGAGTGACCCTACTGTACAGAACCATTATACCCTGATGTGGTATTTTCCACTTTTTCTTCGATTATTACACGTAAACGTCGTCCAAGTTTAATGGATACGATTATACTAATTAATTCAGTCGTTCATATCTCTTAAACCGCTAATAAAGTCAGACTAAGTTTAACTTACAAAGCCTTACTTTTTGAAAAGGTAAATATAGTTAGGACGATCAAAATTGGCAAAGTCCTCAATAAATTATCTGCGAGAATGGATGTATCTTCTTTCTTGTTTCCACTTGGGCTGTAGTCATTTGTTGAGTTTTGAACAGGCTCTTGTTGAATTAAGAAATGCTTCATAAGTAGTACAGATTAGTAGTGAAAGAGGTTAGAGGTTGCTTTAAAGTCCTATCCTAGTCTGCATCTCTTTCTGTTACACATTAAATGGTGTAATGTTATTCCTTTTTCTTTGTTAGTGTCCGCTGCAATTCTTACCCGACGTCTCTTTTCTATGTTTACGATATTCCTTGTCTGTCATAACGTCATGAGTAAAAGTAGGCGTTCTATTAGCAGCCGCTCTAGTCTAGTCAGTAAGTTGAAAAAAGAAAGTAAATGCAATAGTCTCATTGCGGACTATACCAATTTTCATCTCAACTATATGTATCTGGTAACTTGATGTCGATTAATTTTACATTTTGAAATTGGGAGGTAAGATGGTTAAAATTTAATACATCACATATTTCAATTTTACGTTTTATCATAAATTTTCTCTTAAGGTATAACATTTTCATAATTTGCTATTTATTTTTTTCTTTTCTCGTTAAAATTATTATTACAGAAATGGCATCATCCTTTTCTGCCTTTTCGTTGAGTAATTACTCAGATGAAACTTTTTTGAAACAGCTTCCCTCTTGCGAACGAGGCACACCTAATTTAGGAATAGCAGTAATTCGAACCAAATTGTTTTTTAAAGTATCTCATCATCAAGAACTGGAAAAGTTTAAAAAAAAATACGATCAGGAGCTGTTTCTTAATAATGCATTTTGATGGACAAAATAAACAAACTTTGCAGTTTTACGTCTCCTTTGTATATGGGCATTTTTTTTTTGTTTCGCATCTTGAATTTTTTTGAGTAATTAGCCTCGTTTACATTATTTGATTTCGAATTCATTTCACTTTACAACAAACTTAAATGGAGTAAAAGCAAGTAATAAAGTGCCGGAGCAGGGTTGTAATGGGGATAAGCGCGAACCACCCCTTGATAACCCCTTCTCCTTAGCTCATCTAAATTTGTACCTTCACTCTTGCGCAGTCGGAGGTCGGGTCTTTTCGGCTTTTATACTCTGCGGAGTATCAAATTTCAAGTGTGTTTTTAAGACAGTCCTATGAGCCCTTTGGGTTCTGGACGGCAGCACTTCGAGCGCCTTCTGTTGTCGATTGCTTCAAATACTGCGGACTTCGCCTTCTCAATTTGACCCGGGCTTGCACACTTCAGATCTTTAGTCTTAATCCTTTTAATCTACTACATTCGTGAATTAAAAATCCCTGGGAGTAGAAACTATGAAAATTTGAATGTCAGTTTTGATTCTTTTGTATCATCCACGTAAACGTAATGGGATTCAAATGGTATACAGATGTGATGAAAATTAAATTACTGCGGATTTCAGTTTATTGATGGTATGAAAATTAACGTGAATTTTCGCACACAAAAGTGTTTTTGGTTATCACCGTTTTGCGATGTCTGTATAGGTACCTGTATCTAATTTTCATAATGCATTATATTAAATGAGTAGAAAGGATCCAACAGGTGTTATAAATTTCCTAATTAATCGAATTGTGTTGTATAGGGCTTCATCAGAACGTGAAGCTGAAATAAAACTAAAGAGTGTTTCGTGTTGTAGCAGACAGAAGCAAAAATAAATGATGATTGTTTTGATATAGCTTCCGTAAAGTAGTTTTGTTATTAATGTAAGATTAATTATTTAAACCAAGCCTCCCTTAATAGTTACACATATACGGCGATGTAAACTAACAAGCACCAGCATACGTAGTATAATTAATTAAAAAGATTACCTAACGCTAACGTACTTTTTCAAGTGACAGTATGTGCCCTAATTCTGGGGTGATTTATTGAAGTAAAACGACGTGGAAAACGACGACAATTTAAGTAAATGAACCTGTGGTCTACGAGGACCCATTCATTAAAACTGAAAAAAGCAAAGAGGGTTTTTAAAAAATGTTACGTCGTTATGTCAACAATATAAAGTATAGAGTTTAGAAATTTAATTTTAACTACTTAAAAGTTCTAAGCGACAGCTAACCAGAAATACAAGGTAACACTTCGTGGTAATTAAAATCAAATATGAGATAATAAAATCCTAGCAAGAAGTGTCTCTGTGTAGTCACCCCTACCACTAAAAATTTTCAAGTAATTTTACCAAAAATTTTGTCGATTTTATTGGTTCATATAAATCAATAAATTATGCTTTTCCGGTAGTTAATGTCTCTCTTAAAGACCTTTCAAAGGTTTCCTGAGTTTCCTGAACATTCTGTCAATAGAAAATGTTGTTTATGTCGATACGAATCTGGAATAGGAGCATTCAAAACCCAGCCGTGCTTTCATTAGAAATTTGCACGGAATCCAGTAGCACTTGGTCGTTTTTACTCTACTTATTTTCTAATTTTTTGAATAGAAGACCTCAGAGGAATACTGACAAAATGAGAAATAAATAGAAATATCAAATAAATGTATTTCCTTCCGGTGTATTAAGTTTCATTTTAGAAGAGCGACGAAAAGTCTGCAGTACACCGTAGTCGTTCTCATCAGATTGCATCTGGGGAGCGACAGGAACTGCATTATTCATTCCAGAGACGTGCACTTTGAAAAATCCCAACGAAGCACTGACTACAGCTGCTTTTCACTGCACCCTTTCGCATGCACTGTACTACACAGATGATTATATATACAGGTTGGTCCAACGGTGCGTTAAGGTACAATAATCCGTTTATTGTAGTAGCGGAAAAAAAGTGGGCGAGCCATAAATGGAATTGTTAGAAGCCTTTCACATGAGGTGCAAAGAGGTGATTGACGAAAAAAGTTTGTAAATGAGGAGCTAGTTCTTGGCATGAAGAGCTAGTTAGTTGAGACAAACAAGAAGCAGAAACAGTAGTAAAAAAGGACAAAGGAAGATGAAGTGTTGATGGTCAACATAATCATGAGGTGGTCAGTTCTGAGATTGGTTGGACACGGACCTCCGCTCTTTCCTATCCTGATCTAATTTTCGCATTTCCCTAAAACTAGAACAACCCACATCCTTAACTATTTGCGATGATTTAGGGAGCCGGACCATAGGTTCAACCATAATGGAGGGGTTCTTAAAGAGAAACCAGACTAAGACAAGTCCCTGAAAGAGGGCAGCAGCTGTTTCAGTACTCAGGGTGGCAGAGATCACGAGGATCGGTATGGCACCCTGATGCACAATACTGCGATGTGGAAGGCAACGAGAAATTGCCACATTATGATCCCGAGTACAACGTATGCAAAACTAAAGGTTAGAAGCGTTCGAAATGTGGTGTTATAGGCGGATGATGAGGATAATGTGGGTAGAAAAGGTTAGAAATGAAGAGGTATTGGAAAGAATGGGAGAAGAGAGGACTCTATGGAAGTCAATAAGAAATAGGCGAGATAGGTTGGTAGGACATCTTCTTAGGCATGAAGGTCTAGTCAGAGACATATTAGAGGCTGAAACAGGAGTTAGGAGGGGTAGAGGTAGCCCTAGATTAGATTACTCTTCGCAAATAGTTAAGGATATGGGTTGTTCTAGTTTTAGGAAAATGCGAAGTTTAGCTCAGGATAGGAAAGAGTGGAGGTACATGTCCAACCAGTCTTAGGACTGACGATTTTATGATGATGATAATCTAATCTAGATCTACCTCTACCCCTCGTAACTCCCATTTCTACCTCTAATATACCTCTGACTAGACCTTGATGCCTGAGAAGGTGTCCTACTAACCTATCTCGTCTATTTCTCATTGACTTCCATAGAGTCCCCTGTTCTCTTATTCTTTCTAATACCTCTTCGTTTCTAATCTTCTCTATCCACGATTTCCTCATCATTCGCCTGTAACACCACATTTCGTACCCTTCTAACCTTTTCTTTTCCGCTAGCCATATCAAGTATTAATTTATAAATCAAAGTAAATAAAATGATTTGCCAATTAACGTTTACTTAATTTTGCTTAATAAATGTACATATTCTTTTCAGGTTGTAAAGGGAAGAAGTTCAACCCATTCTCCATCTTCTATTTTAATTTACTGAACGACTATGAGTTGGATCTATTAATTGTAAGTAATAGTATATAAGCCTTCGTTAGTGTAGAAGCAGTTTTTATTATTGTTGCCCTAAAATGGTCGAAAATTGTCATATTTTATTGAATTATTATCTCTCTGGACCCTATAAAATTAGATTTTGGATCTAAGGTTAATTTTACCCTTTGGAAGCTTCTGATAATTACTTCAATTAGCAGAAGGCTAATTGGCCTCGCTAGACTTCATCACGAATTTTCCGTAATAACTTCGCAGAATCTCCATTTCAGAAAGTTTGCAAACCGGAAACTAAATCAATGTCACGTAACTGATTTCCTCTGTTTCAATAGAAGTGAAAATTAGATATAGCAACATTTTTATACAGGTATTCATAAGTAAACGATTTTCTGATGATGAAAAGCACAACCAATAAAACTTATGCACCTCTGGAAAGAATTAGGAAGATAAGTAACTGATTTTTAGTATCTGTAGGAATTCAGATAATTCAGGATGGACGGATCAGTAGAGACATAAAACAGAAGATAGTGCAGGAACGTTAGGTTAATTTAGAAAATCGAAAAAGATTGTTAAAGGTATATGCCTGAAGCACGGCGCAGTACAGGTGCGAAACGTTGACGGTGGAAAGGAAAATGTTACAGGCCAATGATGAGGATACCGTAGATAGAGGTTAGAAATGAAGATTTATTAGAATAAGTAGGAAATCATAGGGAACTATGGATATCAATAAGAAATAGATGAGATATGTTGGTAGGACATCATGAAGGACTAGTTACAAGCATTTAAAAATATGGGATATTTTAGTTTTAGAGAAATACAAACAATTAGCTCAAGGTAGGAAATAGTGGAGGTGCGTANTAGAAAATCGAAAAAGATTGTTAAAGGTATATGCCTGAAGCACGGCGCAGTACAGGTGCGAAACGTTGACGGTGGAAAGGAAAATGTTACAGGCCCAATGATGGGATACCGTAAGATAGAGGTAGAAATGAAAGATTTATTAGAATAAGTAGGAATCATAGGGAACTATGGATATCAATAAGAAATAGATGAGATATGTTGGTAGGACATCATGAAGGACTAGTTACAAGCATTTAAAAATATGGGATATTTTAGTTTTAGAGAAATACAAACAATTAGCTCAAGGTAGGAAATAGTGGAGGTGCGTATCCAAGCAGTTTTCGGACTGATGATCTTATGATGATGATGAAGACGTCTGGAAGGTTTTACGTCCCTTGTCTACAAATATGAATCAAAAAATTAAATTTTACTTGATTTTAGCTTATTGTCTTCAGCTGAATTCTTCGATTTTAAGAGTGAATTAAACAAATACCAGAATATTTACTTTTCTTTAACTATTCCATGATTTGAGCTAAATGAAACTACGCATTCTTTAAGTTTATTTATTTATTTGTAAACAAAGAAATTAATAGTTGTTTTAAGAAGACAAAACTATAAGCATAGATAATGTATATTTGCTGCGTTATTTTTGTTTAAATTATTGTTTGTACACATATGGACAGAAAACTGGACATTCCAGATAACGACCGGATCCTTTTATTATATTAAGTTGTCCCTGATCAACACAAACCCTGCCGTTGACAATTACGTATTCAGGAACTCCATGACATTCCATACCCTAAAGATATTAACAACAAATTAATTCATCTCCTAATTAAATAGAAGGAAGTAAAAAAACAAAGAAACGCTATCAGATAGACTCGCATGGTAAGAGTGCTCGCCTATCACTTTGACGACCTATTTCCGGTTAATATAAAGTTAGGTTATGGTTAAGGCCAGAACATTACGGCTAGTTACTTGTAATAATTATTTTGTATGGCATACCTCGAATATATTAAAATCGACAGCATGTTGATGAGTTTTCGCCGATATAACCCTTGTTTTGGTTGGATTCCAAACTACCAAATCTGCGTCAGATCCGACCGCGATGCAGCCCTTCCTCGGGTAAATGTTGAAAATTTTTGCGGCGTTGGTACTTGTCACTGCAACGAAGTCGGTAGGACTTAAAATCCCTGTGTGAACTCCTTTTTCCCAAACAACAGACATACGATCTTGGAGACCGTTTATACCGTTTGGTATTTTAGAAAAATCGCCCATACCGATTTTCTTCTGTTCTTTATTGAAAGTGCAGTTGTCGCTTCCAACGACTTGGAGATTTCCCCTGTACAGACCAATTAGGTACTCAAGTTTGTAACAGAATTAGATAGGTAACATTACACTAAGTGAGGTTATTATGGTATTTGGTTAGGATGATTTCAATGGCGAAATCATTATAAAAGTGAATCAATAAAAGCATAAATGAAATGTACAAATTTAATTAACAATAATTTCTTGTTGACGATCACCTTCTATTTCTTTAAATGAAACAGTTGATGTCTACTCTTAACCAACATAAGGTATAAATGTTATCTATTTAATCTTATCCACTCCACATCAATGTATTTCGGTTAAGACAGAGCGGATGCATGTAATCTTTCTACCATTTTAAGAACAAGCCAAATTTTAGTTAAATGTAAACTCACTGTTTCAAGAAATCCATTAAAAATCGAGGTGTTGTGGGATCCGGCCGAATAGGCGGACTCATCAGACACCCGGCCGCTTCTTCGAAGCATTTGTGAGGTAATTGAGATCCATCAAGACCTAGAGCCGATGCCAAGGTTTCACCGAAAACTTGAGCTCCCCTTTTACGACAGTCAGCCAGTGTTTGAGCTGCTAATTTGCTCATTACGTGTACAATATACACTGGGCATGAAACCTAAATTAAAACTTAATTTATCAAAATTGCAATTGTTCTACAGTGGAGCCGCTCCAAAAAAAGGACAGGAAAAAAGGAAAGAGAGCTAGTCTCAGCTTTCAAGTTTAACTATGCTTCCCTATTATTATCATCAAAGTCATTAAACATATTTCAATGGAGTCTTTTGTACAAAAGCTACAATTTCACTTTTAGAAAATGTTTTATGCTGAGTATGGCTTACAATTCTAAAGATTTAGTAAAATTACGAAGAATCATCAATCTTTTAGAATTGATTCCTGTTGACAGGAGAAAGAACCAAAGATGTAAAACTGACAGTTTGTTACAACTTTTCCTAGAAGGATAGAGACAGAACATCGAAAATACAGCTTGTCTTTAGTTGTTTCGACTTAGGTATTTACAACGATTTAACTTTACTGAAAGGATTGTTAATTTTCAAGTTTCAGTTTTGAGTAACTTTTAGATTAATTCTCACTTGTTCCTTAATGTTCCTGTCCAATAGTTCATAAAAGGAGAGAATTTCTTACCTGTTTCGAAATGACGCAAACTCGATTAACAGCTTCTGCTTCAACTTCTTCGGGTCTCGATAGTTCGTGACCTTCTGGACCGGTAATTCCTTTCTCTAGTAATCGTTCAGTATTTTTATCGATAATTGTTCCATTTTCTGCATGGATTTGTGCCAAAGCGCCTAGATTACGAATGTGTTCGAGAATGGAATACAATTGGGAATCGTTCAGTCTAAAGGAATAGGCCATGAACATTTTGAACGAATTTATTCCGTGTTCTGAACAGAGCGTTTCCATGTCGGCTTTGATCCGTTCGTTCCATCCTTTGATAACCATGTGGAAACCGTAATCGCAACAAACCTTTCCTTCTGCTTTTTCGCGGTAAGAATTGTAGGCGTCAATAAGTGTTTCATTTTCTTTACCATCCATAAAATCAACTGGAAAAATACCATATTCATTCTTATCATGGGATTAAGACCAAAAGATTATTGCCAGTTTACACTTATAAAAAAAAAAAAAGAAACTTTTGAGAGTTTCATTCTTATTAGCATTAGTAGCTGCTGGTGGATTGACGATCCCTACGGACTATTCTAGAGAGTAGAGCGGCGGACCTACACTTCAACCTCCTTTCAGGAATCGTGAGAGTGACTGAGTGAGTCCATGGAATATTACTGATTCACCATTTACATAAGTGATCCAAGGAAGCTACAGAATAATAATTTGGACCGGGTAGAAAAACCCGGAATCGAACCAGTGTCCTGCCGAATGCTAAGTAATGGTATATAGCTGTAGCTTGTGACTGCAACTATGACTCGAATTGTCCGGTTTTAGAACCAGAGTTATGAATTTTTGACCGCGATCCCGTTCATACGAGGTCTGCAGTCAATTCAAAATTTTTGAAACTTAATTTATTTAAAACTGATTATAACCTATTCACGAAAGCACGGGTCAACTACTGACCAAGAAATTTTTGAGCTACCTTTAATGGTTTGCAAGATACACGCCCCCTAGCTTTTAGTGGTCGTTTTCAACAATGCCAAAACTTTCAACAGCGACAGTTCTGAAATAATTCAACGTAGGAAGACGATTCTGAGCTTGTTTAAATCCCCGCCACTTGAACAACTGAATCGACGACCCTTCTTACATACGTGATAGATCATCATCATCATCATAAGGTCATCAGTCCTAAGACTGGTTGGACACGTACCTTCACTCTTTCCTATCCTGAGCTAAACTTCGCATTTCCCTAAAACTAGAACAACCCACATCCTTAACTATTTGCGAAGAGTAATCTAATCTAGGTCTACCTCTACCCCTCCTAACTCCTGTTTCTGCCTCTAATATGTCTCTGACTAGACCTTCATG